CTTTTGCTCATGTCTGTGAGGGAATTGCTAGATTAGGTTAACTGAGACGGGAAGGTCAGACCTAAATGTGGGCAGTTTTCCTCCATGGGTTCGGGTTCTGGACTGAATAAAAGGAAGAAAGTAAACTGAGTACCCGTGTTCATCTGTCCACTTGTTGACCGCAGATACAGTGTGAGCAACTGTTCTTTCCTGCCGTGAGGGATTGAACCCTCCCACTGTGATCCAAATAAACCCATATTTCTTCCGTTGTTTTTATTGAGTGCTTTGTCTCATCAATGAGGAAAAATTGCCTCTCCAGCGTTGTTCTGTCTATGAGACGTGAGGGAAGGACAGAGTGATAGCACTGAAACGCACTCCTTAACACTCTTGCCCTCCTCTGAATTCTGTTTCTTTCAAAAGTCTTATGGGATTAACTATGACCTTGTATTCTTTTGTTTGTTGGGGATTGAATCTTGGCCCTGTGTGAGCCAGGCACACTTTCTACCGCTGAGCTGAAATCCACCCTGTGACTTGGATACAGTAAATACAATCTGTCACTGAGAAAATCAAAGCCAAGAGGCCCGGTTCTAGGGTTCCTTCCCTGCTCTTATCAGCATTCCTCAGAAAAACACTGCAGAATCTCAGATTGTATTTTCCTACTGGGGGATTGCCTGTCCTTCTCCAACCAAACTCCGCTGCCCCAGTTCACCAGACACAGAATCACAACACAGGTGAGTAGGGTATCCTTTCCTGGTGGCTGCTGGGAAAGAGAGGAAGGCCAGGGGAACTCCACTTCTTACCCCTCACTTGTCAGGAACAGCTAGGCAGTTGGATGGAACAGCTGCTGGATGGGATGTCTCAGTGTTTATTTTATTTATCCCATTAAGGTTTCTGGACTGCTGTCAAAATACAGAGCTCAATGGGAAAAGTAGAAAAATAAGTCACTCTATACTCCCAACTGAACAAGAAAACTATTCCTGATAAGTGTGTATAATCATGCAATGACACCATCCAGGCCACTCTGGGGTCAGGAATGTTATAAATCTCACACTGACACAATTTCTGGAACACCAGGCCTCCCCCATGTACAAAGCAGGAATTTCTAAAGTAATCTCTAGCGTATCCTGTCTTCCTTGGAAGTAGTGAGAAATCTGAGAGGCAAACGGAAGAAGCTGTCTACGTAGACATAGACTATTTCTAGCACCCCTTGGTCCACAAAATCCACTTTCTAATGATAAATACTTAACAGCCTGGTGCTGAGAACCTGCAGAGAGATGACCATTCTTTCAAGAACTTTCTCTTTTTTCTTTTTTTAATTTTTCTCATTTTTTTACATACCAACCACAGTTTCACCTTCTTCCTCTTTTCCTGTTTCCTGCCCCCTCCTCTCATCTAACCCCCCCCATCTGCTTCTCCTCCATGCAGAAAGGGGAAGACTTTCCATGGGAGTCAACAAAGCATGCCATACCACGTTGAGGCAGGACCAAGCTCTTCCCCTTGCATCACGGCTGAGCAAGGCATCCCTGCATGGGGAATAGGTTCTAAAAAGTCAGTTCAAACATCAGAAACAGGTTCTGATCCCAATGCTAAGGGTCCACACACACAGACCAAGCTATACAACTATCATCCACATGTAGAGGGCCTAGTTTGGTCCCATGTAGTATTCCCTAGCTGCTGGTCCAGTCAGAGAGCTCCCATTAGCTCAGGTCAGCTGTCTCGGTGGGTTTCCCCATCATGATCTTGAGCTTCCCCCTTGCTCATAAAATCCTTCCTCTCTCAACTGGACTCCTGGAGGGTAGATAAGCTGCCCATAGCATGAAGCTCATCAGTAACAGAGCCATGGCATTTCAGGCATCCTGCATTCATTGTCCCACTATGCTAGGTCACCTGGAACTGAGCAGCAAGAAACAGGAACGATCAAGTGTGTTGTCTTCTATTTGGACCACTTTCAAGTCGTTGCTGATTAACTGCAGATGCTGCTTGTAGGCCAGCCAGCAAGAGCACTGCAGTCCAGTGCTTAGGATGGACATCGTTAGTTGACCAGAGTACTGCCTTTTTCTATCCCGTTCTTCTTAGTATATCTTTCCATGTCACCTTTGGAGATCAGTCAGTTTGATGTAGGACTGCCCCAGAAAAGCCAGGAACCAACCACGTGGTGTCCCTTGCTAACTTTCAACACGGTCATTTACTGCAGCTTCCACATTTAAGGCATTGCCTCTCCTACATGGGAGCCTAGGGATTTACATAGGTGAATGTAAGCGGTTCTTGGGTTCCTTATCTGTGGTGTATTGAGGCCATTAAACACATTGTGTGTGATGCATTCAGAGGATAACGATAAACTAGAAGTCTGTCTTTCTATGTGTCCCTTGGGCCCTTATGGTGTGACGATACCAGTCACTTGTTCCGTTACACACAGACCGGCTCCAGAACAATGTATTTGATATACAGGAGTTCATTTTGGTTTGATTTAGTAAAGGACTTTAGCAGCTAAACAAAGAGTTTTAAAATGCTGAAGAAACCAAGGCCAAGGGTGAGAGTAGGGGGTGGATATAATCAAAAGCCATTGTATGCATGTGTAAAATTATTAATGGAGAAAGAAAATGCTTTATTATAAAAGGGCTTCCTTTTGATTTGGTACCGTGATTGTTTGAATAAGAAGACCCCTGTAGACTCATATACATGAGTACTTAGCCATCAGGGAGTAGCACAACTTGAGGATTAGAAGGTGTAGCCTGGATGGGGTAGGTGTGGAGGAGGTATGCTGCTGGGGGTGGCCTTGGAGGTTTCAAAAGTCAGGCTAGGTTCAGTGTCTCTCTCTTCTGAGGCCTGCAGGTCTAGATGAAGAACTCTCAGTCACCTTGCCAGCACCATGTCTGTCTGAATGCCACCATGCTTTCCACCATGGCAATAACGGCCTAAACCTCTGAAACTGTAAAGCCAGCCCCAAATAAACATTTTCTTTTATAAGATATGCCGTGGTGATAATGTCTCTTCCCAGCAATAGAACACTGACTAATACAGTAACCAAAAGAAACATTTTTCATAAGAAAGTATCATTAAATTAAAATTTTATGCTGATCTGAAATGTGTTTGTTTTTCCTTCAAGCCTTTTCTATAGAAATTCTGTCCATTTTCTCACTTATGAATGATATATGGTTCTTGATAATCATAAAAACTTGTTAAATTTTGTTTTAAATGTTTTTCTCTTACTTCTAAATGAGTGCCTAACTCTTGTTTCTTATTGTCAATTATTCTAGTTTAACTGTTTGGGTCACCTGTCAACTTTTTGTTGCTCACAGTGAACCCTAAATGTGAAACGGAATAATTGTCATGATGGTTTTTGCAGCTAATAACTATGTTTTTTATATTCTCAGAGGCCTTTGGACAGCAAAGACTTACTACTTATTTATTAGAAGAGGTCCTTGGAATGATTATATTCAACTGATGTTCTTAATGGTGATGACCCCGGAAGTGGCACATTGAAGAAGTGACGGTCATTGCCCATATTAAATTCTTATATGTTGTTCTCAAATTGTACTTTCATGTGAGGTGTCTAGAGTGTCTTGCTTTGTTTTCCTGATGCTTCTGTTTGCTGAGTATTGGAGGCACTTTGCTTGAGGACACTGGGAAATCATAGCAGATTGTTATCAGTTGTCATTTTGGTTTTAAATATTTAAGATATTTACTTAGTCCTGTCTTTTTCCTTTATTTTAATCTACTATCTTCTAGATTGGTCATTTTCAATTCGGTATGACTATCAAATTCACTTAAGATGTTTTTTATTGAAATAAAGATTTTAGGGGTCCTGCTTTTATGGGGCAGAAGTCAAGGTCAGTAGGCATTAACTTATTTTTTTTGTCTGAAAGTTCCTTATCAATGGTGGCCTCTGCATCAGGAGTTTCGGGTTCTTGGAGCGCTGTATACTCATAGTGAAGAAAAGCAAAGCAACAAGAGGTTTAGTTCAAAAACACAAAGTGAACAAGGCACAGAGTAGATTCAGTGCAGAAGCCAGCAGTGGGCACTAAGCAAACCTGCTCTTCCAGAGTCTCAAGTTATCACACTCCCTGGGTTTCCTTCTGAGGGTCCAGCAGGTGGAGCTGGATGACAGGGCAGGAGTGCTGGGTAGTTTTCTGTTTTGATTGGCAGCTTAGGCTATGTAAGCCTTCGCTTGCTGCACATAGTCCTTCCCCGCGATGCGTCTAATGTTCGTCATATGTGCACCCACTCATTGCATGGCATGGTGGAGGGTTTTCTCTAAAAGTTCATTCTGGAAACAGACTTACCTATCCAAGCCAGATACACCCCTGCTCCTGGTTCCAGATCGGGTACTAGAATGTATTTGAATAGTTGCTAACCATGGAAAGGGGGGTGCTAAGGAAATGGCAGGGATGATCAGGGTAGAGGAACCAGTTGCTTTCTTTGGAGGATGTGTATATAGCTTGGTACAGGTGGTGGTACTGAGTTGCTAACCACTTTGTGTGTGTGTGTGTGTGTGTGTGTGTGTGTGTGTGTGTGTAGCTCAAGCCAAGTGCGAACCTTGTTTTCTAAGCTGTCCCTACACTTGCTGCTTCCCATGATACTAAATTTCTGGACGCTGAGATTGTATGGTCCCTGGATTACATAACAAGACCAAGCAAGATTATAATACCTTGTTCTCTGAGCCACAGACATGCAGCAATGTTCAGAGCTATACTGTTAAAGTCTTTCTGCACCTGAGTGGGCACATTGTGGGGACCTTCTGTGTCTCCAAAATCCTAGAGGCCACCAGGTAAGCACAGAGACCAAGGAGGATTTTTTAAAATCCACTGGTTTCTCCACGCCATTCCCTGACTTCTTTCTCATACTGCATGGTGATAAATTACATTTCATAATCTCTTCCTTTTTTGGTCCCATCCCCAGGCAGATGCCAAGTCCCACCCATGGGTTTGTGTTTCTTTCTGTCTTGATATCTATCCAGGAGCTGGCTTGTGTTCCACCTCTCAAGACCCCTCCTTCATGACTTTGTGCAGACAAATGTCTTCTCTGGAAGCTTCCACCCACTCTGCTCCCTATAAAGGTAGACAGGATAGCCAGCAGAGCAGAGAGACAGAGAGGCAAAGAGGCTGAGATCAACGCAGAAACGTCCAACTGTCTCCCTCCACCATGCAGATCTCCACAGGGCTTCTGTGCCTGCTGCTTGTGGTCACTGCCTTCACCTCCCAGGTTTTGGCTCACCCAGGTAAGTCCCCTCCTTCCTTTGAGGGATGCCAGCTATTTCTCAATCCAGATGACAGGACTTTTCAGAGACTCTCTGCTAACTCTGCAATTTAAAGATGGGACAAGGAACCCCGACCAGTCAAGCAGCCAGAACTGATGTTGGTCCACATTCCCCACCACCCCCTCTCTTTCTCTCCCCAGAAGGATCATTGAGTCAGCTGCCAAATGCATCCACAGACAGCCCCTCACCGTGTCTGGGTACATGGCACAGTAAGCATTTGGGTAGTGGTGACCTGGAAGTATTTTGAGGGGAAGAGTTTATGGAGGTTTCTAAGATAACAACAGTGGCAAAAAACGGGGAGGGGGTCTTGAGACACAAGCTCACCTTGACTCTGTTTAGGACCTGCTGTAGGTGTCTGTGTCTTACCCCTTTTCCTATCTTTGGATAACTTACTTTTCCTGGGTGTGAACTTATGCATGCTAATCTCAATCAAATCAACAAGGGCCTAGGGCAAACTGTAATAATGCACACGCTCGGCTTTTGTATTGTATGCTCAGGTTTCCAGGCTGGATAGGGCCACGAAGGAAAAGAGCGCTCGCTCAAGGGCTCTGCGAGCAACAGTTGCAAGCTCAGAAACATCGTGTGCCATTTCATCATCTCCCTCACTGGCCAAACTGATTAATACCTCCAGCCAACCAAAGTGGCAGAGAGGGAAAGAGAAAGGAAGAGAGGGGGGGGGAGCAAAGTAACAACTCTAGTGTTCAAAACCTTCAGCAGACATTGACAAGGGGAGTCCCTTTAAAGGGGTTCCCAACAGATATATTCCCTCAGGTGAGGCTTCCAAACCAGAGAGAGAATAGTAAGAGAAAGCACACTGCTAAATTGCGGGCTTATAACACTCACACGAAACTGACTTGGAAGCAGGAGCAGGGAGTTCCCCTTTTGTGTTTTCTTCCATGGATGAGCTTCCCACGGTTGAGCATCTGGCTTCTCTTTCCCATGACGAGCACTTTCATATCAGGGGATAAGTGAGAATAACCTCTGTTGGCAAGAGTTCACCTTTTAACAGTTCTTAAGGGAATAATATTTTCGCTCTCGGATGTCTGTCTGATTCCTCCTCCCTGTTGCAGAGTTTGGGGGCGGGGGGTTAGTCCATCCCCAAGCAAAGAGATCTTGAAGAACTCTGGAGGGGGAGCAAGTTCGCTTTCAGAGACAGCTTCTAGTGAGCTCAAACAACACATAACAATTTAGCAACATAATGTACAATTTATTCAGCCTTTAAATTGCCTGCATGTTGTTATATGGCACTGACATCTCTGTTATTTGGGGACAAAAAAGGTGGATTGATTTAATACATTGTAAGACAGATGTGCAGTAATATTCTGGGTGACCCAGCAGTCCTCAGTAGAAGGAAGTGAGCATGGCGGTCAAGCAATGTTAATTTGCTACACAATAATAACATGTATATAATTTGAATTCAATTCTTATTTATAGAAATGAAATTTTAAGGTAATTAGATGTAAGGGACAGTTTAAAAGAATGTAACTATGTGATTTTATCTTTTTATTAAATGGGAAAATTTTTAAAAATTAAATACAGATTTTAAGTGATAAGACAATTTTAAAAAAAGCTTAAATCCAAATCACACGATGTTTGAGTGAATTGTGCTAGTTGCATGGAGGATGGGAATTATCGATCCTGTGGATTTGATACCAGGAAGTTATTAAAATGTCTACAATCTGCTCGTGGCAACATTACAAAAACTGATTTGAAAGCCAAAAATGCAAGGTAGTTACTTGTGTCTTTGCTAACTTTATTAGACTGGTTCATACTTGGGAAAACCTTGTTTTAGCAAAATCGCGATTTATTTAAAATTTCCTTTGTCTAAACTGTATTGAATGTTACACCAAAGTTAACAATATAGGAACAGTAAGGCTGCCCTTTTGGGTGTCCAGCAACTACAACTTGGAGACCTACATCAGCGCAGAGCAGAGGAAACTAGGGCCAGTATTTTAGCCTTTGACCTCCGAGGACAGTCAGAACCTGGATGTTGGGGTTCCTTCAAATCAGCAATCCTTTTGATAGGAGAGGCCATGGAATCTCCAGAAACTGGGCTCTAAGCAGTGCATACCCTGTCGGAGGGCGAGTCGCCAGAGAAGGACATGTTTTCTATGCTTCTGAAGGAAGCCATATGGTTAGCAGGCTCTGAGCCATCCTACAGGGAGCACAAGTAATACGAAAGAAACTGAACGAAGGGAGCCAAGGCTTCTCCCAGCACCCATGGCAACCCCTAAGGAATATCCTGTGACTGAAAAAGAAGTTTCTCTGTGGTTAACCACATGGCCCTTAAACAGCCAACAAAAAAAAAAAAAAAAAAAGTACAACGAAGACAGTCATTCAGATGCTCAGCTTTGGCCAGTTTAAAAGGGGCAAGCTGTCAAATTCCATAATGTTACTGATTTCACCTGTCCAAAGTTAAGTTCCGTAAGGCATTAAAAACTCCAAAAGAAGAAAGGCCCACTATAAAACAATAAACCAGCTGAGGGCTTACACTTTCTCCCTGAAAGATACGCCCTGACTCCAGATAATCACCTATGCATGCCAGAGGTTTATTTATTTGTCTGTAAAGCCTTCCTTAAACACTCCCTGCCTCCTTAAAGGGTTAAATGGGTGTTTTCTTCCATAAACCGTTCCGAAGACGCCAGACCCTTCGCCATCTTACTATTTTAATTCTGCTTAGTTTCTTTGGTCCTTCATCTATTATCAGAGTCGTCCAGACGCTAAGCCCTAAAACTTTAAGTAATGCAGACAAAAGCTGCTAAGTCCTGGCTGCCATGACCCCAGTAAATCTATTGACCTGAAGGATCATATTAGTAAGCTACCAAGTTTTTTTTGGTTTGGAGTTTTGTTTGTTTGTTTGTGTTGTTTTCAGGCAACCTGTCTTATCATTTGGATTGTTTGCTTTTCTCCCTTCTGGTCTTTACCATCCTGAGACTGTTCTAGCGCTGTGAGCAGAGCCTGCAGGGAAATCAATGACCTTGATCTGAACACTCTGTAAACAAGACAAGGCCAAAAGAAAAGTTCACCGAGAGACAAAATCTTTACACGTGAACCCTGAAGTTGTAGTTTTTAGGTACAGGAGATGGTCATTCCCTTGTTTTAGCAGTGGGAAGCTAAGTGTCTATGGCTGCACCTATACTCCATCCACCACTGGTCTCTCCTGTGTGCCCCTCCTTTCACTTTATATGAGGGTCACTCCTTTAAAACAGAAATGGCTGTTATCAGATCAAGCTGCCAGTGCCAATTGTATGCCGTGTGGTCTGGGGAGTGGGCTGTGTGAAGTTCTGAATCAGTGAGTGCATTTCCCCAATACATACCAAGTCAAAGAAATAGTAAAAATACACACACGCGCACACACACGGGAGGGGGGATTTACCATCAGATCCATTGTGCAAAACACCCAGTAGAAATGGACTGGAGGAGCCTTGTTGAAGCTGGCAGTTGGTGCTTCCAGAGACAGAGTAGAGTGCCCCTCCCTGGAGAGAAAATATAAGAGAAAGGTAACACCACCAAATCAGGGCATGAAAACCAGCAGAAACTGGCTGAGGAAGCCCCTGAGGCAGTCAGCTGGAGCGCCCCCCCCCCCCACTGAGTTCTGGGCACAGGGGCAGAAGCTTTGCCACGTCCTGTTATTGGCAGTCTCCCTTCCTGCTGTTGTCTGGGGCTCCCTACTGTCCTTTGTGGTCTGTTCTGCCATTCTGTCCTCTCTGTCACAGAGTTGGACAGTCATTCCCCTGACAGATAAGTCTTGGGGAAAACTTGATCTAAAAATGCTTAACTGAAATGGAAGGGAGCGTAAAACTGCTTCTGGGGCCAGCTTCTCAGTGAGCTCAACAATATATCCCAGTTTAACAACGTAATGCCCATTCCATCTTGTCAGAGCTGATGGGTCCCCACTGTGCAGAGGACCACGGGCAGGGCAGTGTCCCACATCAAAGACACAGGGCTTTGTGATTTTCCCTCTACCCAGGATGTGCCTTTACCTCTTCCTAACTCTCTTCCTACAAAGCCCTGTTTGCATACAACCATGCATCACAGATGGCTCATTCTTCCTGTCCATTTCCTTCTTCCAAAATTTAGGGTCCATCCCAGCTTCCTGCTGCTTTGTGATGACCAGTAAGAAGATCCCCAAACAACTACTGAAGAGCTACAAAAACATCACCAACAGCAGATGCCCCCTAAAAGCCATAGTGTGAGTATACACCCCACCCCAACACACAAACCTCTGGACCCAAACTCATTTCCAAGGCTGTGTCCTGATTAAAGAATCAGACAGCTTGGCACCTGTCACCCAATCCATGAGCTTTCACAGCACAATGTACTGAGTCTCACCCAGCTCTCCGCCTCAGATTTGTTTCCTGGCCATGTCAGATCCTTCAGGTCCAAGAGAAAAAGATAAATTTACTGGGCCTTCAAGAACAGAAACCAAGACTGGAATCCCACCCTTCCTCTGCCCATTTGTACCACAGTGACCTCTGCACCCCTTAGCAAATGATTCGGGAGGGTTTGAGGAGGAAAGAGGAGAAATTTCCGAGTATCCCCCTGACTGTTTTTTGCTCTTTTCTACAGCTTCAAGACCAAGTCGGGCAAAGATATGTGTGCTGACCCCAAGCAGAAGTGGGTCCAGGATGCCACAAAGTACCTTGACCAAATCCTCAGAATCCCAAAACCATAAACCATCCCATCTGTTGAGACTAAACCACAGCCTAAAACACAAATGCTTGATTTATTCCCCATTCCTAAGCTGTGCTCTCGGGTCGTCTCAACACCATTCCCCAAGGACTTGACCTCATTTCGTTACGGGTGGGACTGGAAGTCATTATGTCCTGTGAAATAAGCCAGACGCGGAAAGGTTGTGTAATTTCTTAAATATGCAAAATCCTAAAGGGGGGCTTAAAAGATGCCAGATTATTGAGGAATGGGGTGGAACAGGATGGGGGAATAATTGAGGATAATACAGGAGTAAATATGATCAAAACACCTTATAGACGTGTGAAAATGTCATAATATAATGCATTGCTTTGCATAATTAATATATAGTAATTAAATATTAATATTTTAAAAGTTGTTACATTTACATACTTGGAGTTTTAAAGCATATTTTTATGGATATCAGTTCTTTTTGTTGTTTATTTGTTTGAGACGGTGCCTTACTGTATCACTCTGGCTGACCTAGAACTCAGTATATAGACCAGGCTGTCAAACTCACAGAGATCAACCTGTCTCTGCTTTCCAAGTGCTGGGATTGTAAAGGAATGTGCTACCATGCTAAACCAATGTATTTTTTATTAGTATATACTAATTATATGTAATAACATATTTCAGTACAACTTTTTCTTACATATCATTTTTAATGCCTGAGCCTTTTTAATTGTTTTTATTGAGCTATGTATCTGAGCTTGAGGAGATTCCTATCCCTCTGTTAGTCCAGATTAAGTCCTCTTGTGGTCTCCTCCCCATTTACCTGGTAACGGTCACTGTTATGGAAGTCTATTTTTGTATTTCCAGGAGGATATTGTTATTGTGGATGTAAGGTGTGCAGTGTCAAATGGAAGGGAATTGATTTGGCATTCATAAAATCCATGTGTATCTTTATCATCACTGAGTTGTGTTTTCCTGTGGGAAATTCCATGCAAGTGGGGTGGGCTAAAGATGGCAGTCGAGGGAGAACTGCTTGTGAGGTGGGGCTGTGTTCTTCACAAAATGACTCTTCGGAACGTGTTTATCGAAATCCAGATGTTCCATTCTGGCCCTAGGGTTCTTGTTCCTATCAGCAAAATCCCAGCCACACACACACACACACACACACACACACACACACACTGAGACAGTCACTCTGAAGGAGTCCCCCACTATACCTGCACCCAGCCTGGGAATCCTGCTCCTGTCAGCCAGATCCCCACTCCATGGTCCTCAGTCAGTAGCTCTGCTGGAGCCCTCCACCGTGATGGAATGCCATGCTTGTTCCAAGTCCCCCCTGTGACCCACTACAACTGTCTGCGGTTAGGTTTCCACCCTGACCTTACTTCTTTGTCTTGCAACCCAGACCACACAGACACTGCAGACAAAGAAAGCAAAGGAAGGCAGGTGGGCCTGGACTTGGATGAAGGCATCACAGGTTATTACCTGACCAAAGCCATCTTAAGGAGAGAAAGGCCTATTCCGGCTGGAGTTTGAAGGCACAGTCCATTGTGGTGGGCAATGTGGCAAGAGCACATTTATCTACAGCAACAGGAGCACGAGGCAGCTGAGCTCCCTGGTTCTGCAGTCAGGATGCAAGGTTGATGCAGACTGGCATTCCACCACCTTCTCCTGTTTGTGCCCCTGGCTTAGGGATAGTGTTGCCCCTCCCCCAGGGCAGATCTTTCCTCCTCATTTTAACCTTTCTGGAAATCCCTGCAGAGATAAAACCAGAGGCATCCCTCCTGTGTGATTCTAGATTTTGTCTGTATTAAAAGATAAGCTATCACAAGATTAAGAGATGTGTGGATGGGTAGACAGTGGGAGTTCCAGGAGGCACTGCGGTCCAGGCAGGGAAGAGTCATTGCTTCAGCCAAGGCCTAAGAATAAGGGTTAGTGATGTCTGTCCAATTCATTAGGTACCTCCCCTAGGTATATATGTCCAAGGTGGTAGGAAACCCTGGAAAGAGCACAGAGGCCAGGCTGTCATGATGGGAAGTTCAGAAATTGATAAGTAGGGTGAGCATAATGTTTTATCACCCAACTTTGGGGAGTTTTCCGAATGAATGGGAGCTATGACTAATTCCTCTTAGAAAGCAGATATAATTTGGTCAGTAAACCATTACCCTGATCAGAACATAGACTGTTTCCAGTTAGTGAGAAGAGAAGGTTCATGGCAGAGAAACTTCACGAAAAACAGGTGGCTATGGGTGGGAATATTGAAAGAAAGAGGGAGAAGCAGTTGACATACTATCACATTAGGTAGACAAGAAGCTGTGTCCATGTCTGTAGAGGAAGTATCTCTGGTAGACAGAAAGGAAGGAGAAACCACAAGAGGAGTCCAATGCCAAATGAAGTGCTATGTATTGAGAAACCGGTGACAGAAACTTCCCAAGCTCCACCAAGCTGCAATTAGAACTACTCTCTAACACAGTAGCCTAAAAAGAGCAGCATTAGATTCCAACTTTACACACTTGAGAGAAGTCAGCTGCAAGGAGACGGGGCTCCAATTCCTGGGTGAGCAATTCAAATCTGCATTCTCCTTCAGTATGTCAGATGGACCAGCATCTCTCTATGACTCTAGTGCCTAGCCATAGAGACCAGCTCTGTCCCCAAGGGTAGAAAAGGTCGTGGCTGCTTGTGTGTGTAACTGTATCATCTGAAACTGCTAATCCTGGTCCTGAAGCTTGCTGGGTTAGGCTGTGTACAGAGGATCACTATATTGCATAGCCCCAAGAGACACCAACATGTCAAGCTCTCCTGGGACCATGGTCATCATAGCAGAAGGCAATAAAGACATCAGCATGAGGCACTTGGAAGAATGATGTCGGGGAGGTGGGTGATCTCAGTGTATAAGTACAAGTGATCTCTCTTACTTATTTGAGGTCTTTATCATGTTAGTCTGATACCATCTTTTGGGTAGGAAACTAAGGACTCTGGCCAACAACCCTGTAAAAATCATCCACACTGAGACTTGTCTCTTCACTATATCATGAGCTCCACTCACAGAAGCAAGAAAGGCTGGAAAAGGATTCTGCATGCTGGGTAACTGGAATCCCTGTTCTTTTTTTCTTTTCTTTTCCTCCCTCCCTCCATTCATCCCTCTCTCTTTCTTTCTTTCTTTCCTTTTTTTGTTTTGTTTTTCTAAGACAAGGTTTCTATGTGTGTCTCTGGCTGTCCTAGAATTCACTCTGTAGACCAGGCTGGCCTCGAACTCACAGAGATCTGCCTGCTTCTGCCTCCCTGAGTACTGAGATTAAAGGCATGTGCCACTACTGCCTGGCTTGGAATTCCTATTATATCTTATACTGAACCTTCTGGAAGTTTTTCTGTGACACAGAGTCTAGTAACAACTACGTAATGGCTCCATGGCCCTGACATCACTTAAAAGCCCCTTATCTCTTCCATAGCCTAGCAGATCAACTCTCAACACCAACCAGGGCAAGGTGCATGCCCAGGAGACACATAGCAGCAATGAAGTGGCCATCAGACAGTCCATTGGGAACACCAGGCTCACAGACCCTCCTGATCCAGTAAAATACCAAAGACACATCAGAATAAAAGACCAAAAGGTAGCAATCTTTTTTTGATGTGAAGGACTGAATAAAATTTGGTCACATCCCTTATACCAAGCTTCCTTTCCTATCTTTTGAAGGATTTTGAATCCATTTCTCCTCTAGCAGACCACAGCATGACTTACCTCTGAAACAGAAAGTCTGATGTACAAATCACTGTACATGTTGAAGCCTTCTACTGCTATACAGACTTCAACCAACACCTGGGCTGTCATTGGTCTCTCTGGGAAGGAAACTTCTAGATGATAATATTCAGGCAGAGTGCTGGAATGTGAGGAAAGTAGAATTTTTGTCATGATGTAGTCATAGCTAGATAATCCTACAGAGAGCACCAGGATGATGCTAACCCAAAGTGTGGGGCCTGGCTCTTATATACTTCCTTTCTTGTCATGGCTCAAGGTTTCAGGGGAAGATCCTATGGTGGAGACATAGAGGGAACCTCAGGCAGCTCACACGCTGAAGGGGAGCTTTAATCCTCAGGAGGGAAAACCTGGACAGCACACCAGACTCTATTCGGGCCCTTCCTCATCTCTCTTCAAATACATTTGCTCATATGAGATCTAGAAAATTCCAGAAGTCTTCTTAGCTCCAGCCCTCCAGAAAACTTGCAAGAGAAAGGTCAACAGATTGAGCTTCAGTCTGCTTCCCACCACTGTGGGTGCTCTGTAGTGGTGTTTATTCTCATTCCCAGCTCACCCAGCCTCAACCAACACCAAAGCTAGGCCAGGCAGCTTGATTGTGCTGTTGACTAAGACCCCCATGCATGAGGGCTGAACCTTTGGTCATCCTGTTCTTCTGAAGTCCAGCTTGTGGCAGCTGCTCATAACCACCTGCCAGCCTTGAGTGAAGGAACATCAGGAAATAAACATTCTACCTAGATGCCAAGATTGCCCAATGAGGAGGACCAGCTCCATCTCCCTCTGATGACCAGGGCCCACATCCAGCCTTGTCTCTAGGTCTGTGCCAAGTGATAACACAGCTGTAACTTGATATTTCATGAGACGCTCCAGCACACATGGATGTATTCTTTGCCTATGAATCAAGATTTCTCAACCCCACCACCTTGATCAGCTATAGCAGAAAATATAAATACCTGTAGTAGGTCATGAGAAAGGATAAAAAGTGAGGTCACTCTAATCTCCACCTTTGATTCTTGGATCATGGATTTTACTATTAGTGAAACAATACCACACAGTACTGTATTGTCATGACTTTGAAATCTGTAATGAGTCTCAAGATGGATTCCATCTTTTCCACTCAACTACATTTTCAGCAGGCTGCCTACTATGCTCTCTCGCTGGGAGCTTCCAGGGAAAAGTAGGTACTGAGCAGGAACCATGGATTCCCCTAAGCACAACCCAGTGGCACACCTCATTAGCTGTGGTGTGCCTGGTATTCTGCAGTGATGTGAAGTGGAACGTTATGTCAAGGAATCTCTGGAAATAGTGCAGGCTAAGGTACTGGAGTCAAAAATGGCAAACTCACACCTGGAAATTGTTTGTTCTAGTTAAGGTGAGTCATTGCCGCTTTCAGGGTAGAACCTGTAACACATTAATCAGATGCACCGTTTCTGCTGCAGATCTTTAGGTTTCTGGATGGATAGTTCCACAGTAGGGCTCAGCATTAGCCTCTGCTATTAGCCTGCCAAGCTGCAAGCTACATCAATATTGGTGGGCAGGAGCCCTTGCCATGTGGCCCAGCGTTAGATAAACTGGCTCCTATGACTAATTTATGCATGCCCTTACTGCTCCAACCCTTTTCCAGAGGCTGGTCAGTGGCAATGACTAGCCCATTCTATTTCCCTGGGGTCAGTATATCCTCATGTGCTGTATGCTATTTTGTGGAAGCATGCATTATGCCTCTTACTTCAGTTGTGGTTTTGTTTCTCTTTGATAAGGTCCCTTACAAAACATCCCAACCAGTCATCATGTTATCTATGAGCACAAAAGTAGTAACAAAGCCACATAATGATGCTCCAGGCAATTGCAGCCAGCACACAGGAGAGCAGGGCCCAAGAGATCATGTACAGTGAGACACACCTAGTACTGACAGTATTATAGTTCCTTGAATCAGCTTCCAGTGCAGATTCTAGGAACATGGTTGAAGTGATGCTAGAAGGGGTTTTAAGATTTGAGATGAACTTAGCTGATAACACAGCACACGGTTTACAAGGGTTTGATTTTGAACAATTTTTAAAGATCTTCTGTATAGAACAAACTATTGAACTGAGTTACTCATTGCAGAGAAATACTCCATGAAAGAAAAAGTCAACATGACAAATTCCATTGTTGGCTCAGGGAGACTGGAGAGATGGCTCCGTGGTTAAGAGCACTG